CCTGTGTCACCTGTGTCACCTGTCCGTGTCTCACCTGTCCCAGGACGATGTCCCCACCTTGGCCGCCCCCCGGCCCCTCCCCGGTCTCTCCTTCCTGGTTCCGGAGCCCGAAGACCTGGAGGACCTGTACAGCCGGTACAAGGTGAGAACACACCTGGGGACAGGTGTGACAACACCTGGGGGTTACCTGTGTGACAGGTGAGGGGACCACAGGGACATGGAGGACCTGTACAGCCGGTACAAGGTGAGAACACACCTGGGGACAGGTGACAACACACCTGGGGACAGGTGACAACACCTGGGGACAGGTGAGGGTATCTGGAGGTGCAGGAGGAGCACATCAGGTGTCCCTCAGGTGTATCTCAGGTGGTTCAGGTGTCCCTCAGGTGGTTCAGGTGTAGTTCAGGTGTGTCCCAGGTGTAGTTCAGGTGTGTCCCAGGTGGTTCAGGTGTAGTTCAGGTGTAGTTCAGGTGTAGTTCAGGTGTAGTTCAGGTGTGATTTACCTGTGTCTCACCTGCAGAAGCTGCAGCAGGAGCTGGAGTTCCTGGAGGTGCAGGAGGAGCACATCAGGTGTAGTTCAGGTGTATCCCAGGTGGTTCAGGTGTAGTTCAGGTGTATCCCAGGTGGTTCAGGTGTAGTTCAGGTGTGATTTACCTGTGTCTCACCTGCAGAAGCTGCAGCAGGAGCTGGAGTTCCTGGAGGTGCAGGAGGAGTACATCAAGGACGAGCAGAGGAACCTGAAGAAGGAGTTCCTGCACGCGCAGGAGGAGGTGAAGAGGATCCAGAGCATCCCCCTGGTGATCGGGCAGTTCCTGGAGGCCGTGGACCAGAACACGGCCATCGTGGGCTCCACCACAGGTGAGACACACCTGGGGACACCTGGAGACACCTGGGACACACCTGGGGGCACCTGGGACACACCTGGGGGCACCTGGGACACACCTGGGGACACCTGGAGACACCTGGGACACACCTGGGGACACCTTGGGACACCTGAGATACACCTGGACACACCTGAGCACACATGGATACACCACAGAACATCTGAGATACACCTGGGGACACCTGGGGACACCACACAACACCTGGATACACCTGGGGACACACCTGGACACACCTGGGGTGGGTGGGGAAGGTCCCCCTGGTGATCGGGCAGTTCCTGGAGGCCGTGGACCAGAACACGGCCATCGTGGGCTCCACCACAGGTGAGACACACCTGGGGACACCTGGAGAACCCTCAGATACACCGGGACACACCTGGGAACACCTGGACACACCTGGGGACACACCTGGACACACCTGGGGACACACCTGGACACACCTGGGGACACCTGGGATACACCTGGACACACCTGAGCACACACGGATGCACCACAGAACATCTGAGATACACCTGGGGACACCTGGACACACCTGGGGACACCTGGACACACCTGGGGACACCTGGACACACCTGGGGACACCTGGACACACCTGGGGACACCTGGACACACCTGGGGACACCTGGACACACCTGGGGACACCTGGACACACCTGGGGACACCTGGACACACCTGGGGACACCTGGACACACCTGGGGACACCTGGACACACCTGGGGACACCTGGACACACCTGGGGACACCTGGACACACCTGGGGACACCTGGACACACCTGGGGACACCTGGACACACCTGGGGACACCTGGACACACCTGGGGACACCTGGACACACCTGGGGACACCTGGACACACCTGGGGACACCTGGACACACCTGGGGACACCTGGACACACCTGGGGACACCTGGACACACCTGGGGACACACCTGGGGACACCTGGGGACACCTGGGACACACCTGGAGACACCTGGGACACACCTGGGGGCACCAGGGACCCACCTGGATACACCACACAACACCTGGGGACACCTGGAGAACCCTGAGGTACACCTGGGCACACCTGGGATACACCTGGACACACCAGGGGACACTTGGGGACACCTGGGGACACCTGAGCACACCTGGGATACACCTGGGGACACACCTGGGGACACCTGGACACACCTGGGGACACCTGGAGAACCCTGAGATACACCTGGACACACCTGGGGACACCTGGACACACCTGGGGACACTTGGGGACACCTGGGGACACACCTGGGGACACCTGGACACACCTGGACACACCTGGGGACACCTGGGACACACCTGGGGACACCTGGAGACACCTGGGACACACCTGGATACACCACGCAACACCTGGTGTATCTCAGGTGTCCCCAGGTGACCCTCAGGTGCCCCCAGGTGAGCTCCAGCTGTCCCCAGGTGACCCCCCAGGTGTGTCCCCGCAGGTTCCAACTACTACGTCCGCATCCTGAGCACCATCGACCGCGAGCTGCTGAAGCCCAACGCCTCGGTGGCCCTGCACAAGCACAGCAACGCCCTGGTGGACGTCCTGCCGCCCGAGGCCGACAGCAGCATCATGATGCTGACCTCAGGTGAGGACACCTGGACACACCTGGGGACACCTGGGGACACCTGGGTTCCATAAAATGTCGATTTGGGGGAAAAAAACGGGGTTTTGGGGGTCAAAAACGGAGGTTTTGGGGTCAAAAATGGTCAACTGGATCATCTTGAGATCATCAAGTTTCTCCTGGAGACACCTGGAGATACCAGGGCTCCATAAAACGTGGATTTGGGGGAAAAAACCAGGGTTTTGGGGGTCAAAAACGGAGGTTTTGGGGTCAAAAATGGTCAACTGGATCATCTTGAGATCATCAAGTTTCTCCTGGAGACACCTGGAGATACCAGGGCTCCATAAAACGTGGATTTGGGGGAAAAAACCAGGGTTTTGGGGGTCAAAAACGGAGGTTTTGGGGTCAAAAATGGTCAACTGGATCATCTTGAGATCATCAAGTTTCTCCTGGAGACACCTGGAGATACCAGGGCTCCATAAAACGTGGATTTGGGGGAAAAAACCAGGGTTTTGGGGGTCAAAAACGGAGGTTTTGGGGTCAAAAATGGTCAACTGGATCATCTTGAGATCATCAAGTTTCTCCTGGAGACACCTGGAGATACCAGGGCTCCATAAAACGTGGATTTGGGGGAAAAAACCAGGGTTTTGGGGGTCAAAAACGGAGGTTTTGGGGTCAAAAATGGTCAACTGGATCATCTTGAGATCATCAAGTTTCTCCTGGAGACACCTGGAGATACCAGGGCTCCATAAAACGTGGATTTGGGGGAAAAAACCAGGGTTTTGGGGGTCAAAAATGGGGTTTTGGGGTCAAAAATGGTCAACTGGATCATCTTGAGATCATCAAGTTTCTCCTGGAGACACCTGGAGATACCTGGGGACACCTGGAGATACCTGGGGACACCTGGGTTCCATAAAACATCGATTTGGGGGGAAAAAACGGGGGTTTGGGGGTCAAAAATGGGGTTTTGGGGTCAAACATGGTCAACTGGATCATCTTGAGATCATCAAGTTTCACCTGGAGACACCTGGAGATACCAGGAGATACCAGGACTCCATAAAACGTGGATTTGGGGGAAAAAACCAGGGTTTTGGGGGTCAAAAACGGAGGTTTTGGGGTCAAAAATGGTCAACTGGATCATCTTGAGATAGACACCTGGAAATACCTGGGGACACCTGGAGATACCTGGGGACACCTGGGGACACCTGGAGATACCTGGGGACACCTGGGCTCCATAAAACGTCGATTTGGGGAAAAAAACCAGGGTTTTGGGGGTCAAAAACTGAGGTTTTGGGTCATGAGAGGTCAACTGAGGCCACCTTGAGATCATCAGGTCCCAGTTGGTCCCAGTTTGGTCCCAGTCCATCCCAGTCCATCCCAGTTGACCTCTTTGACCTTCTCCAGACCAGAAGCCACCCATGGTGGTCACTCCTGGTCACTCCTGGTCACTCCTGGTCACTTTGTGGTGGCTCCAGGTGACCTTGTAGAAGATCCAGGTTGTCCCAGTTGGTCCCAGTTTGGTCCCAGTCCATCCCAGTCCATCCCAGTCCATCCCAGTTGAACCTTTGACCTTCTCCAGACCAGAAGCCGGACGTTGTCTACGCCGACATCGGTGGCATGGACATCCAGAAGCAGGAGGTGCGCGAGGCCGTGGAGCTGCCCCTCACCCACTTCGAGCTCTACAAACAGGTGAGACCTCCTGGAGACCTCCAGGTGACCTCCAGGTGGCCTTGGGGACCTCCAGGTGACCTCCAGGTGACCTCCAGGTGACCTCCAGGTGGCCTTGGGGACCTCCAGGTGACCTCCAGGTGACCTCCAGGTGGCCTTGGGGACCTTCAGGTGATCTCACCTGGTTTTGGGTGGGATTTGGGCTTGAGGAACCTTCTGGAGAACCTCAAGGTGAGGTCTGGAGATGCCTGGGTGGAGTTTGAGGACTCCAGGTGACCTCTAGGTGGCCTTGGGGACCTCCAGGTGGCCTTGGGGATCTCCAGGTGGCCTTGGGGATCTCCAGGTGGCCTTGGGGGTCTCCAGGTGACCTTGGGGACCTCCAGGTGGCCTTGGGGATCTCCAGGTGACCTCACCTGGTTTTGGGTGGGTTTTGGGTAGGATTTGGGCTTGAGGAACCTTCTGGAGAACCTCAAGGTGAGGTCTGGAGATACCTGAGTGGGGTTTGAGGGCTCCAGGTGACCTTGGAGACCTCTAGGTGACCTCGAGGTGACCTTGGGGACCTTCAGGTGACCTCACCTGGTTTTGGGTGGGTTTTGGGTGGGATTTGGGCTTGAGGAACCTTCTGGAGAACCTCAAGGTGAGGTCTGGAGATGCCTGGGTGGGGTTTGAGGACTCCAGGTGACCTCCAGGTGGCCTTGGGGACCTCCAGGTGGCCTTGGGGACCTTCAGGTGACCTCACCTGGTTTTGGGTGGGTTTTGGGTGGGATTTGGGCTTGAGGAACCTTCTGGAGAACCTCAAGGTGAGGTCTGGAGATGCCTGGGTGGAGTTTGAGGACTCCAGGTGACCTCTAGGTGGCCTTGGGGGTCTCCAGGTGACCTTGGGGACCTCCAGGTGGCCTTGGGGACCTCCAGGTGATCTCACCTGGTTTTGGGTGGGATTTGGGCTTGAGGAACCTTCTGGAGAACCTCAAGGTGAGGTCTGGAGATGCCTGGGTGGGGTTTGAGGACTCCAAGTGACCTCCAGGTGGCCTTGGGGACCTCCAGGTGGCCTTGGGGACCTCCAGGTGATCTCACCTGGTTTTGGGTGGGATTTGGGCTTGAGGAACCTTCTGGAGAACCTCAAGGTGAGGTCTGGAGATACCTGGGTGGGGTTTGAGGACTCCAAGTGACCTCCAGGTGGCCTTGGGGACCTCCAGGTGGCCTTGGGGATCTCCAGGTGGCCTTGGGGATCTCCAGGTGATCTCACCTGGTTTTGGGTGGGATTTGGGCTTGAGGAACCTTCTGGAGAACCTCAAGGTGAGGTCTGGAGATGCCTGAGTGGGGTTTGAGGACTCCAGGTGACCTCTAGGTGGCCTTGGGGGTCTCCAGGTGACCTTGGGGACCTCCAGGTGGCCTTGGGGACCTCCAGGTGACCTCACCTGTGTCTTCTCCTGCCTAGATCGGCATTGACCCACCACGGGGTGTCCTCATGTACGGCCCCCCCGGCTGCGGCAAGACCATGCTGGCCAAGGCGGTGGCCCACCACACCACAGGTGAGCTCCTGAGGACATCTGGGTGGGGTATGGGGACACCTGGGGACACCTGGCTGGGGTTTGGGGACATCTGGGTGGGGTTTGGGGACACCTGGGTGGGGTTTGGGGTCACCTGGGGACATCTGGGTGGGGTTTGGGGACACCTGGGGACACCTGAGGACATCTGAGTGGGGTTTGGGGACATCTGGGTGGGGTTTGGGGACATCTGGGGACATCTCAGTGGATTCCTGGTGGTCTCCATGGATTCCCAGCAGGATTTTTGGGGTTTCTGGAGATCTTTTGGGGTTCCTGGGGGTCTCCATGAGGTTCTGGGGTGGGTTTTGGGTTCCTGGTGGTCTCCATGGGGTTCTGGGGTGGGTTTTGGGTTCCTGGTGGTCTCCATGGGTTCCAGTTGGGTTCCTGGTGGTCTCCATGAGGTTCTGGGGTGGGTTTTGGGTTCCTGGCGGTCTCCACGAGGTCTTGAGGTGGATTTTGGGTTCCTTCTGCTCTCCACGGACCTCAACTGAGCTCCTTGAAATTCCTGGACCTCTTTTAACTCCTCAACGTTCTCCATCAACCCCTGGTGGACCTCCGACCTTCTCGGGGGTGGATTCTGGAGCTCCCAACCTCAAACTTGGGACGTTTTTTGGTGTCTTCTCCTGCAGCCGCCTTCATCCGCGTGGTGGGCTCGGAGTTCGTGCAGAAGTACCTGGGCGAGGGACCACGGATGGTGCGCGACGTCTTCCGCCTGGCCAAGGAGAACGCGCCCGCCATCATCTTCATCGACGAGATCGACGCCATCGCCACCAAGCGCTTCGACGCCCAGACCGGGGGTGAGGTCCTGGGTGGGGTCAGGAGGTCCTGGGTGGGGTTTGGGTGGTCCTGGGTGGGGTTTGGGAGGTCCTCGGTGGGGTTTGGGTGGTCCTGGGTGGAGTTTGGGCTTGAGGAACCTTCTGGAGAACCTCAAGGTCACACCTGGGTGGGGTTTGGGTGGGATTTGGGCTTGAGGAACCTTCTGGAGAACCTCAAGGTGACGCCTGGTTGGGGTTCGGGAGGTCCTGGGTGGGGTTTGGACTTGAGGAACCTTCTGGAGAACATCAAGGAGACACCTGGGTGGGGTTTGGGAGGTCCTGGGTGGATTTTGGGGGTCCTGGGTGGGATTTGGTCTTGAGGAACCTTCTGGAGAACCTCAAGGTGACACCTGGGTGGAGTTTGGGTGGTCGTGGGTGGGGTTTGGGAGGTCCTGGGTGGATTTTGGGGGTCCTGGGTGGGGTTTGGTCTTGAGGAATCTTCTGGAGAACCTCAAGGTGACACCTGGGTGGGGTTTGGGAGGTTCTGGGTGGGGTTTGGGAGGTCCTGGGTGGGGTTTGGACTTGAGGAACCTTCTGGAGAACATCAAGGAGACACCTGGGTGGGGTTTGGGAGGTCCTGGGTGGGGTTTGGGAGGTCCTGGGTGGAGTTTGGTCTTGAGGAACCTTCTGGAGAACCTCAAGGAGACTCCTGGGATGGGGTTTGGGTGGTTTGGGGTGGAGTTTGGTCTTGAGGAACCTTCTGGAGAACCTCAAGGTGACACCTGGGTGGGGTTTGGGGGGTCTCCGGAATCCGGAGGTCCCAAAATCCCCGTTTTTGTCCCCAAGCCGACCGCGAGGTCCAACGGATCCTCCTGGAGCTGCTCAACCAGATGGACGGCTTCGACCAGAACGTCAACGTCAAGGTGAGCCCAGGTGTCCCCAGGTGTGTCCAGGTGTCCCCAGGTGTCCCCGGGTGACCTCGGCCACCAATCCTGGCCACACCTGGACCAGGAATTTTGGAGTTCTCCTGGTCTTGGAGGGATCTCAGATGGTTCCAGATGGTCCTAGGAGGTCCCAGGTGTGACCTGGGCACACCTGGACACACCTGGATGGAGAATTCTGGGGTTTTGATGGATCTGGGTGGCTTTTGAGGATCTCAGATGGTCCCAGGTGGATCTCAGATGGTTCCAGGTGGATCTCAGATGGTTCCTGGTGTGTCCCTGATCCCTCTCACCTGTCCCCAGGTGATCCTGGCCACACCTGGATGGAGAATTCTGGGTTTTGATGGATCTGGGTGGGTTTTGAGGATCTCAGATGGTCCCAGGTGGATCTCAGATGGTTCCAGGTGGATCTCAGATAGGTGGATCTCAGATGGGTCCCCCTCTCACCTGTCCCCAGGCGATCCTGGGCACACCTGGATGAGGAATTTTGGGTTTTGATGGATCTGGGTGGGTTTTGGAGGTCCCAGGTGGATCTCAGATGGTTCCAGGTGGATCTCAGATGGTTCCTGGTGTGTTCCTGACCCCTCTCACCTGTCCCCAGGTGATCCTGGGCACACCTGGATGGAGAATTTTGGGGTTTTGATGGATCTGGGTGGCTTTTGAGGATC